TAAATCGTCATTTACTAATTTGTTATTGATCTTAGTTTCATAGCTTTATATAATGGTTGGGAATAAGATAATAGTGTAGAAATATGTATTAATGCTTATTTTATCATTTTACAAAATATCTTTGCATATTTCCACATATTTCATAATATTTCCACAATGTCTCTAATTTTTACAATATTTCCCCTCGACATTTCCAACATTTCCGACACATGTCCTATATTTTGGTAAGCGACATTTCCATCGACATCGACATTTTAAACCTTGGCCCTCCATTGATAATGTATTTCTTTATGTCATGCAACTGTGTAAATCTTGTAGGATTCCAGGGTTTTCATGGGCTCTTCTTTGGACAGCACTAGTGATTTAATGTTATACCAAATGACTTGATTCTCTGTGATGCACTCATTGACTTTTTATGCAGTTGTGTCTACTTCTCAGGTCAGTATGTGTTTGCATTTGGTCTTAGCATCTCAATTACAAAGTAAAGCATGATATTTTTAATAGTATTCTACTATTCTTGCACTTGAATATGATATAACCTTTTTATTTTTCTAGAAGATAACCGCAAAAGTTCTTGAAAATTCTTCTTGTAAGATTTCATCTTAAATCTGCTGGAAAAGTATTGTTGAATATTTGCTTGCAGGTGGAGAATGATGTTATATGTTGCAAGTGCTCCTGGTTTTTTCCTTACACTTGGTATGCAGTTTGTTGTTGACAGTCCTCGCTGGCTATGTAAAGTAGGATTCTACTTTTATGCTTCAATTCATATATGTATGTTCATGTTTCCTCATTTCATTATTAGAAGTAATGTTGGGTATCTGTTTGTGTAGGTTGGAAGAGTGGATGATGCTAAAGCAGTAATTGGCAACCTTTGGGGAAAGTCTGAAGTTGATAAATCAATTGAAGAATTTCAACTAGTTATGAAAGACGCTCGTAGTGATTTTGAGAGCAGTTGGTTTGATCTTCTTGAAGAGCCCCATACGAGAGGTACTATTTAGCACTGAGAATTTACCTTTTATTGCTCAATCATTTATTTTTTTAAATTCCAAACAAGTATTTATGACATCATAGTTTTTAAATATTTTCTCCAAGTCCTTTATTTGCTAGTTTCTAATATTTTTGCTAACCACTTACGCTATTGGACGCCATCCACAACCCTTGCTATATTTAAATGTCAGGATCTGTTCATGCATCCTTTAGTCATTTTTTATTTTGTTGTGTCCTTCAAATTTAAATTTCTTTCTATGTTTGATGAAAATATGTAATTTGGGGCACTGGTGTTCTTTTGTAACTGTAGTTGCTTTTATTGGAGGAGCCCTTTTTCTACTTCAACAATTTGCAGGCATAAATGGAGTTCTTTATTTTTCATCTTTAACTTTTCAAGATGTTGGCATTACAAGTGGTGCTTTAGCAAGCCTATATGTAGGATTTACCAACTTCGCAGGTATGCTTTTAAGTTTTTTCCCCTTTTTCTTTGGTTTATAATATGAATGTTCTTTTGGGAAACATTCATCTTGTCTTACGGTCACTGCAGGGGCACTATTTGCTTCATACCTAATTGGCAAGCAAGGAAGACAGAAGCTTCTGATAGGAAGCTATCTAGGGATGGTTAGTGCATGAGAACACGCTGATATTGAACCTAGTTATTGAAGATTTCTTAACCTATGTAGGGGAAAACCCTATTAATCTATTTTATCAGTACCAATACTTCAATACAACCCAGAAGGTGAACCATAACATATGGTATAGTTGCATAAAATGGAAAGAATTCAGTGCAGTCCCACTTATGATGCTAAATAAATCTTAATAATTATGCAGGCAGCTTCAATGCTTCTCATAATATTTGGCATTAGTTATCCATTGGATGAACCACTCAGTCATGACTTGTCAATTCTTGGAACTCTCATGTATGTACTCTTCACACCATATCTTTACTATATAATGCCAATACTTGCCTTAGCTTCATGTCCAGACAATCATTGAAAACTTTAATCCATTTATTATCCTCTCTCCTCTTACATGTGCAAATGCACCTGCCACTCAACTTGTTATTTATAAAATGCTTCTTATCTTATTTTTCCCATCAGGAGTATCTAAATCATGTGTATTTATTACATTGCCTAGTAAGGCTTTATTCAGAACAAAACATGAGGCGTGTGTTATATAATTATTGCTATTTCGCATGATATGTTCCTGAGGTTGTATCAACCTACATGTTAGATTGATAATTTCAAGTTTTAACCCACAAAATTTCCTCCTATGGTGTGGCAATTCAGATATTGTGATAATGTGATGCCAATGGAAAAGAAAACTGATCTTTTTAGCATTATTGTGATAGATGATTTTAAAGAGTATTGTGATCCCTGTTGTCTTCTAGATGGCAATATATTTGTTAATAGCTTTATTACTTTCCTACCATAAGTTCATTAACCTAGGACATATTATGCATTCTTGATATGATTCCACATATACCAGTAGTGAGAAAATTGTAAAAAAAAACTTAGGCGCAAGTATAAAATACTGATAAATTTTGGATAATTCAGAAATTTTGTTATAGAAAAACAAAAGACTCATCCTTTCCCTTTAATTGTTCTTCTTGTAGGTACATATTTTGCTTTGCCTTGGGTGCCGGACCAGTAACTGGTCTAATTATACCAGAGCTTAGCAGCACCAGGACACGTGGAAAAATTATGGGTTTCAGTCTCTCTGTTCATTGGGTATGTGCAGATGTAATGTTTTCATATTGAAAGAAAATAAGGGCATGGATTCATGATGAAATAGGACCTGGGTCTACTCACTGTTCTTGATTGGAATCTCTTAATTTGTGGTAACTGAAATTCACACACAAGCAGACACTCCATGATATGATCCAGTGTTGGTTCGCAACTTCGCATGGCTTTAAAATCCCACCCAGAAACATTTTTTATACTTTGTTACATCCATAAGTCATTAAACATTTATACAAGTTCAGATGAAGTATTATATCTTTTTATTGACCTTACATGTAAAGCTGTTAACTTGATTTTTGCACCAAAATTTGAAATATATTTTCCTTCCATGTACATGTGCTTCAGGTTTGCAACTTCTTGGTGGGATTGTTCTTCCTAGAACTGGTGGATAAATTCGGGATTGCTCCAGTTTATGCAAGCTTTGGCGGGGTTTCAGTGTTGTCAGCAGTATTTGCTAAATATTTTATAGTGGAAACCAAAGGGCGCTCTCTTGAGGAAATTGAGATGGCACTAAATCCCAATTTTTCAGGTAAAGATAAGTAACCGACCAAGTCAAGAGCATTACAGATGGAAGCGAATGGCCAAATGCTACATGCAGTGTAGTGGAGAGGAGAGTCCTTGTCATGATATGTGACAATGCACAAGGAGAGGTTTAGAGATATTCCTGCTGTTTTTAGTGATTGCCAACATCTGGGTCAAGTCTGTGATGTTGTATTGTCTGTAAAAGCATCAGAGTCTTCCCTCTTTTTGCGAATGAATACATGCTGAGGGAAGAAAAAATTCATTCTTATCTAAGGTGATATCAAACTACCTTTAGCTGCTTTAAACAGCTGAAATTTCTTCACTTGAAGAAAAGGGGGATATCAATCTTCTCAAAGTGTTGGACTGCGAGTCAGAGGGTTTAAAGATTCACGAGTCTGTCAGGGAAGCTTACTGAATGAGGCGATAATTGGTGCCACTGTCAAGGATTTGCCCGCCCATATTTGCACAAAAAACTCTGATTAAATACCATACTTGGAAGGAATTTTTACTTATGTAACATTATTATACTTTTCATGCATGGGTACAATTAACATCATTCTGGGAAGTTACTTGTAATTCCTCTGGCTTTTTTTTTATAGGTTTGTGGGGTTTCTAGGTTTACTGGTGATTTCTCTGTTGCTTTGGTCAATTATCATGGGAGTAGGAAGTGGGGTCTCAGAAGAACCAAAAGATGTTTATTCGGTGTGGGCATTTCCGACGGAAGACGTGAGGGATAGGTTGAAGAAAGGTGATGCACGGTCTCCGATCAGAGTTCGGAGGTCCAGAGTTCGAACCCCACGTCACCGTCGTTGAAGCCATTCACCTCACCAAGGCCGATGCTCTGCACAAGTTCAACTCCGCCTGTGAAGGTCTCAAATCCTATATGGCCCGTGTTTATTCGGTTTCTACAGGGACATTCTTCTACCAGTGCGTGTACCTCCTCCTTCATACCACTCCAGAGGTGATGTCAACTAGTTCACACTGCACAAGCCATTTTGGATGCAAGAGCTCAACCCCTTATATGCCGCATTTGAGTCTTCTTTATGGGGATTTAACTGATGATGAGAAGAAAAGTGCTCAAGAGAAAGCTACACTTCTTGATGAGGACGTCAACACCCTAAGCTTCCAGATCTCTCGCCTTGCATTATACAAAACAGACACTGAAGACAAAACCCTTGAATCCTGGGAGAAGGTTGCTGAATGCAGTCTCAGTTAGTCCCTTTTTTTCCTGTGGATGTCTAATAAAAGATCTGCACATTATGCTCTTTATTCAATGATCAACCGTGCTATGATGGAAGTGGATGACTCTTAACTCTTGTAGTCAATAACAAACTGTCCAAACCCAATAAAAATGAACTGGGAAACATGGTAATCAGGATGCAAAGAAATTGTGCAAAACCAAGTGATGGGGTACCGTCCTGTCACCTAGTTAGAGGCTTAGAGCTTGGGCAGGCGCCTAGGTGGACCAGTTAGGCTTAGGCAATGATTTTTGACAAGCATGACATATATGATTTGAGAAATTCCCTATACTTTTTTATTTCCATGAATATTTTGGTTATTGGCTGTATTGTTATTTTAATTATTTTTGCTAAAAAAAAATCAAAATTTGATATAATTGAATTGAATTTGGATAATTTGAATATCTAATTGGTCAAATTTGGATATCATATTCATATCAAATAGTTAGTGGGATTTGAATTAGGATATGATCTGATTCAATTTGATAAGTATTTGGATTTGACTGATTATTTAATTCTTATATATAATATATAAAATATTTAAATGCTTTATATAATTTATATATAGAATAATTAAATTATATAAATAATTTATATACGTTATATAAATAAAATGTTTATTTTATATATTTATTAATTATCTAAAATAACTAATTGGTCAAATTTGAATTGAATCGAATATTTGAAGAATTGAATTCAAATTCAAATATTAATTTTCAATATCCATTGGATATCGGATTCGAATTTGGATATTACCTGATCCGATTTGAATTTAATCTGTTTATACCCTTACTATGCAAGGTTCAAAGTATCGACACGTATTGGCCTGTATCGGCCGATACATATCATTTTGGGGCCCCTCCGATATGCCCCTACAGTGGGTGTATCAAAGGTCTAACCGGTTCAGGGGGTAGAGGAGACCTAAACTGGCTCCCCTGAACCGGTTGCAAAAAAAAATAAAAAAAAAGGCCTGAAACACTATCAATTCACCCGATACGCCCATATCGGCGCATCAGGCGTATCAATATTTTGAACCTTGCTACTATGTATATGGAATATCATATAATCATCTAGTTTGTTTATTAATTCCCTAATTCCATTCCTTTACATCTTATCTTTCCAATTACAGTGCGATGAGGGATGATTCTGGATGTTTACTGATGGAGCGCGATCTGGTTGCTCCTAGCTGGAAGGTAGCTCGAATGTTAGTTGTGTAGTAGGCCGGTCGAACTGCGAGACAGATGAAATCAGAGAACCCAAGGTGGCTAGCCCGGCGTGGTCGCTCTGATGCTTAAGTTAGTACTGGATGTATTGCGAGCTGAAAGCTAATAATGAGAGAGCTAGTATGCAAGTAATCGCGCGTACTTGGGTCTCAGAGGCTGATGCCCTTATATAGCTGGGTTGCCGTGGATCTCACGAAACACTCCCGAGATCCTCGGCCCGAGCCATAGGAGACCGTTCCGCTCCGGAGCGGAACGCGAGCTGCTTTTTTGTATTACCCATGACGAAGAGACGACTGGGTCTTATGTTGACCATGTCGAGGAGGTGACTGGGTCTTATGTTGCCCATGCCGAAAAGGCAACTGGGTCTTATTTAGCGTCGATGTCTTTTATCAACTAGGCACCTTAGCCCTTAGGCTCTGGAAGCGACTCATAGTCCACTCTCCAATGTGCGCCCTAACCAACTCAGTGGTCTTTTAGACTTAGTAAATTTTTGTGGATGTCTGACTCACGATCTCATAGGTAGTACCTCTTCAAGTTGTCAACGTTCCAGGCGCGGGGTACCTACTTCCCTTCCAGTGTCTTGAGCTTGTACGTGCCTTCGCCGAAAATCCACCTCACCCTGTACGAACCTTCACAGTTCGGCCCAAACTTGCCTACATAGGGCTTAGGTACCATCACCTTTCGGAGTACCAGGTCGCCAACTCGGAACTGGCGTCTCTTGTCCCAGGCGTTGTAGTACCAAGCTACCCGCTGTTGGTAGGCCACAGTCCGGATATAAGCTAGGTCATGTATTTCCTCGATCAAGTCTAGGTTCGTCCGTAATTCGTCATCGTTAGCCTCTTTGTCGTATGCCTTGAGCCGCAGGGTTGGTACTTCGATCTTAGCTAGAATCACGACCTCTATTCCATACGACAAATTGAATGGTGTCTCACCGGTGGCGGTCTTGACGGTCGTTTTGTAGGCCCAAAGGACATTGGGCAGCTCGTCCACCCACAATCCTTTAGCGCAAGCTTTCAGTCCATGTAGGATGGCCCTGTTTGTTACCTCGAACTATCCGTTCACCTGGGGGTGTGCCACCGACGTGAAATTTTGTTGGATCCTTATCTCGGCACACCAATTCTAGAACTTAATATCCTCGAACTGCTTTCCATTGTCCGATATCAGCACCTTGGGTAGTCCAAAGTGGTAGGCTATGTTTTTCTAGAAAAAGTTTTGTACGTTCCGGGCTGTGATTGTCACTAGTGGCTTGGCTTCCACACTCTTCGTGAAGTAGTCCACTACCATGACCAAAAATCTTCTCTGCCCGGTTGTCGGTGGAAACAGACTGAGGATATCTATCCCCCATTGAGCAAAAGGCCACGGGTTGGTCAGATACTTCAAGTCGGCGCCAGGTTGATGGAGGATGTTGGCGTGCCTCTAGAAATTGTTGCATTTCTTGACAAACTCGAGTGCATCCGCTTTCTTGGTGGGCCAATAATACCCTTGCCTTAGCACTTTTTGGGCAAGCGCCCTGCTCCCTAGGTGTCCTCCACAAAGGCCTTCATGGATCTCGTGGAGTACCTAGTCTGCTTCTGAAGGCCGCAAGCAACGTAGGTAGGGCAGCATGAAGGATCTCCTATACAGTTGCCCGTCAATGATAACGTACCGAGCCGACTGGCGCCTTACCCTCCGAGCTGCATTGCGGTCTGCTGGTAGGGTCCCATGGAACAGATAGTCGACAAGCGGGTCAACCTAGCTCGGTTCTGCTTGCAACACGGGAGTAACCTCTTCTACCCCCTAAGGATACTAGGTCAAGGCAGGTCTTCTATATACGTCGTCCTCATCGTGTTGTCACTTGTCCTTGCCAGTCTTGATAATGCATTGGCCTCTGCATTCTCTAACCTCGGTACTTGTCAGATAAACCAGGAGAGGAATGAAGGCAGGAGCTCTCTTACTTTAGCCAGATAAGCCATCATGGTAGGCTCTCGAGCCTCGTTTTCGCTGTTCACCTGGTTCATTACCAACTAGGAGTTGCTGCATACTACAACATGCTTCATGTCGATCTCCTTTGCTAGGTTCAGCCCGGCTATCAATACCCAGTACTCCGCTTCGTTGTTCGACGCCTTGAATCCGAACCAAAGAGCATACTCCGATGTGCTGAACGTGCATTCTGCCACAAAATTTGCTAAGACTTGAGCTTTAATCGTTGGGCGTGGCTCAAACCGGATGTCGTACTCGCTCAACTCGATGGCCCATTTCGTCAATCTGCCTAACACCTCGGACTTCAGTAAGATGTGCCTCAAGGGTTTGTTGATGAGGATGACGATCGTGTGGGCTTGGAAGTAAGGACGCAGTTTTCGAGCTGCGATGACCAGTGCGAAGGCCAGCTTCTCGATATTGGGATATCTTGTCTCGACTGCCTACAAAACCTTGCTCACATAGTAGACAGGTCGTTAGACCCAATCTACTTCTTTGATTAGTACTGAGCTGACCACCTCGTCACTCGCGGAGAGGTACAGTTCCAGCTCGTTTCCTTCCTCAGGTTGGGTTAGAACCAGTGGTGAACTTAAGTATTTCTTCAGCTCATCAAACGTGAGCTAGCATTCTTCGGTCCACTCAAAATCCTCATTCTTTTTAATTGCCTTGAAAAATGGTAGACACCGACCTGCCGATTTAGACATAAACCGGTTTAGGGTGGCTACCCGACCAGTTAGCCTTTGGACTTCCTTTATTTTTTAGGGGTAGTCTCATATCTAGTATAGCCTTTATCTTATCCAAGTTGGCCTTGATGCCACATTGGTTCACTATATATTCAAGGAACTTGCTCGACATGACCCCGAAGACACATTTGTTCGGGTTGAGCTTCATGTTAAATTTCCTTA